ATCATCTATCCATCATCTATCCATCATCTATCCATCATCTATCCATCTATCCATCATCTATCCATCATCTATCCATCTATCCATCATCTATCCATCTATCCATCATCTATCCATCTATCCATCTATCTATTGTGTGTACTCCACAGCACTCATGTGGATCCTGGACTAAACTCAGGTCTTTTTTTTTTTTTTTTTTTTTCCTGAGACAGGATTTCTCTGTGTATCTTTGGCTGTCCTAGAATTTACTCTGTAGACCAGGATGGTCTTGAACTCACAGAGATATGCCTGACTCTGCCTCCTGAGTGCTGGAATTAAAGGTGTGTGCTACCGCTGTCCTGAATCAAACTCAGGTCTTAAGGCCTGAAGGCAAGTGCCTGTACCTGCTGAGCCACTTCACTGGGCCATGACTTGCTTTACCTAGAGGAAAGTGTGTCATGTTTGAGAAATATTTCTCAGCTCTGGACTCTCAAGTGTCTATGAAATGCAGCTTCCTCCTTCTCTAAGTTTGTAAGCTTAAGAGGTTCAGGTTCATTATCTCAAAATTGTTTGGTTTTCTTCAGAGCACCTATCTCAAAACGTAGGTGTTCCACATACATTTGTCTAATTGCAGGCATTCAATGACTTGCTGTCTACTGCCTCTCTTCTACACAATACAAAACTTCTACTGATTTTTCTTTCTCGGTTAAACGGCATTAGAATTATTGCTGTGGCTGCTGCCATGCATGTGGAGGTCAGGAGACTAACCTTCAGGGCGTTCTTCCTGCAGTATGCATGAGTCTGGGGATATAGGACGTGCCCACTGAGCCACCTAGCTGGCCCATGACTTATACTAGTTTTAAAGGCAATGGAACTTGTAAGCAGCTTAGAGTGCTTGCCTGGGTTCAACCCCTAGTACTACAAGACACAAAAAAAATTATAATTATGGCTGGCAAAATGGCTCAGTGGGTAAAGGCACTTGTCAGCAAGGCTGATCACCTGACTTTAATCTGCAGGGCCCACCTGTGAACGTGGAAAGCCTATTTCTGCCAGCTGTCCTCTGACCTCACAGGTGTGCTGCAGAATATGTATCCACACATACAGACACATATATGATAAACAAATGCAACTAAAAACTTAAATAACAAAGAAAGCCACGTTAAAATGGGAAGATGTCTATGAAATTTTGTGTAAAAAAAAAAAATCAATTATATGTGGGTATTGTGGGACATGCTTTTAGTTCCAATCCTTGGGAGGCAGACTCAGGGGAGTCGCTGTAAGTTCAAGCCCAGCCTGGTCAACATAATTCCAGGTCACCCAGAGCTACACAGCGAGATCCTGTCTTCCCAGCACCCACATGGCAGCTCACAACTGTCTGTAACTTTTGTTTGAGGGGATCTGACAGGCTCACACAGACATACATGCAGTCAAACATCAATGTACATACAATAAATTTAAAAAAATTAAAAATAAAATAAGTAAAAAAAGAAGCAATTCAAAAAAATACTTATGGAGAAATTGCAGAGAGAAAACACATGCTAAAATAGTAATACAATTAATTCTTAGGAGACACTCTTTGGTTTTATTTTTGAGAATTGGTTTCTCTGTGTAGCCCTGGCTGTCCTGTAACTTACCTTATAGCCCAAGCTGGCCTCAAATTCAGAGATTCACCTGCCTCTGCCTCCTGAGTGCAGGGATTAAAGGAGTGTGCCACTACCCAGCCTTAGGAGACATTCTTAGAAGTCATTTTTATGGTAGTTAAAAAAAAATTTAAAAGATCTTCTACATGTATGGGTGTTTTTGTCTGTATATGTCTGTGTACAATGTCTACACAGCGCCCACAGAAACAGAAGGGGGATCAGATCTCCTGGAACTGGAGTTACAGACAGTTGTGGGCCTCCAGGTGGGAGCTGGAATTGAACCTGGGTCCTCAGGAGTAGCAGCCCTTCTCTTAACTGCTGAGCCATCTCTTTAGCCCTCTTACGTTAGCTTTTCACTGTATATTTGATTTGTTAAAGACGTAAAAACAAACCTAGATGAACCACTTGCTTTAAAAAGTGAAACTATGGGAAAAGCATGGACTCACTTTTCTGTAAGATCCGGAAGTCTGGAGAGTCTTCTATTAAGGTCCCTTCTCTGTACCACTCGACTTTCGGGGATGGGGCACCTTTCACTCTGCACTCAAAGACAACCAGCTGGCCCTCAGAGGCGGACAAGTTCTGTAGCATCTGGGACAAGAGAAGCACGTTATAACCTATCCACTTGGGGACTACACTCCTGGATTTTAGGGACACCGTCTCCACCCTGGACTCTCTCCAAATCTCCTACGTCTCCGGCAGCTTCAATCCAGTGGGCGAACGCTGAGTCCAGTTTTGAAGATAGCACCATCCAACCCTTCCAAGGCTCTTTCTTCAATATTCCTTGCCTTAACCTCCATTTCAGTGCTGACCACATTTATTCAATATTAGGTAAGATATTTTTGAGTAAATGGAGATCATTTTTTAGTAATTCTTGTTTATATTTGTTAGTTTTCTTTCTTTTTTTTCTTTTGTCATTCACTCTTATTATTTGTGATCTTTTTAATAGTTCTTGTCTAAACAAAACTTACTGTATTTTGTGCATTGCCTTGACACATTTATAACCCTTGTCTAGTGATGTGGGTTGCAACACACACACACACACACACACACACACACACACACACACACACACA